TCATTGATCTTCCAAATCTTACACACTTGGTGGTGGTCTTCCTATTTTACTGATGTGGAAGCTAAGACCCCTGGTCCGTACTGTTGCAGACCTTTTTGCCTTGTTGATAAATGGCCTGTTTTCAGTGCTTTCTAGTTTGAATGAAGCTGATTAAGACGCCCTAAATTACGAATCGTCAGGTAGTAGCACATACATCCATAAAATTGCTGCCACTGAAACCCAAAGTCTTGTTTCTGGGAAGTCTGCCTCTTCATCTGGTTGTTAAGGCTGGATTGTCCCTTTAGCCTGGAATTTCAGTGTCCTTAGCATATCACAAGGCTTAAATCAGGGTGTGGCACCTGGCGGGGAGAGTTGTTTCTGACTTTTTGTTTTTTCTTTTTAAAATTGAGGTGAAATTCACATAACATAAAATTATCCTTTTTAATATGTATAATTCAGTGGTATTTATTATATTCATGATGTTGTTCAACCATCACCACCATCTACTTCCAGAACATTTTCATCTCCTCCAGAGGAGACCCTGTAACCATTAAAGAGTCATTCCCCCTCCCTGGCTTCCCCCAGCACCTGAAAACCACTGATCTGCTTTCTATCTCTCTGGATTTATTTATTTTGGGTATTTTGGAGGTAAATGGAATCACACACTGAGTGTCCTTGTGTGTTCAACTTCTTTCACTTGGCATGCTGTTTGCCAGGTTCATCCACCTTGTAGCATGTATCAATCCTTCATTCCATTTTATGGTTGAATAATATTCCATTGTATGGTTACACCACATTTTGTTTATCCATTCCCCAGCTAATGGGCCTCCAGGGGGATTGTGAGTGAAGTTGGGGAGAAGAGAGGCTTGTACCCTGCCTTGTGCTGTGCTGCCTACTAGCCACATGACCATGAACGAGCTACACAACTGGCTTGTGCCTCCCTTTCCTCATTTGTCAAATGAACATAATAATAATACCTAACTCTTCAAGTGACTGAAGGATTGGCTGAGATAATATGTGAAAAGTTCATAGTATAGTGCCTGGCAAATAATGGGCCTTCATAAACATTAGCTGTTTTACCATAGGATCGTCTGAGTGTGAGTGGGGAGGAGAGAGAACACAGATGTGCGTTATAGTAGGTGTTTTACCGTGCACTTGTTCTGTTGCAGCTGCTCAAACCTTTGTGCTTTGTTTAAAAAGGAAAAGGCCTATCTGTTTTCTCTGCTTTGTGGTTTGGTGTTTTTGCCCCTCCCCCACTCCCTACCCCCCACCCCGCCCCCCATCACTGAACATGGGATTTTACATTTAGAAGCAGTTCAGTAGACAGAATGTCTGTAGTGGAATGTTACATAATTCACTTTTAGATTTGAAGAGCTCATTATAAAAAACCTGACACACTTCAGGAATATTAAATTACTGCAGATTGTGTGGAGCAAAGAAACATTATTGAAGCATTTCAGAATTCTAGGCGAGCCTGAATTTAACTGATAGGGTTTCACAGCTTTTACTGGGGAAAAATGATTTGAGTTGTCACATGGTTTCTGGCCCTAGAGGACTTTAATCTCCTTAATTACAAAGAAACGAATTTCCCTCAACCTCTGGCTTTTGGAAAATTAAAGGGGATGCCAGGGTCCTGGCTGCGGAATGTTCTCTCCGTACTGTAGCCTCCTTATGCAAGTTTTTATTAGAGATGATGCTGGTTTCCTTTCTTTATTGATATGGGGATGTACTTCAGGAATTCACAAGTAATGCTTATAACACTTGAACACAATCACATTTTGTGAAACAAGTGACACTGAAGCTGCCCGCAGAATAGGGAGAAGTTCTGTATTGTGGCTTACAAAGTCGAAGGAAAGAAAATGGCCCAAATCCAATCGAGTTTTATACATCGACTTTAAGAGTGCTTGAAATGGTGTAGAACCCATATTTCAGTTCATTTCGATGTTTATGGATTAGGTACCTACTGTGTGCAAGACCAGCATCATGGAAATATCTTAGCTTCTACTATTTCCTACAATTTGTCCGTAGAAAGCAGACTTAACCTGCCTTAGTTTCCTTCTCTGTGAAAGGAGGATAATAATATGAGGCTGTGTTGTGACCTTGTATTCCTGTGCTTGTAACACAGGAAACTATTAGGGCCTAATATTTATTAAGTGCTTGCCAGGAGATGTGCCCAGACACCCTTCCAAGCATGTTACATGTGTGATCACAATTTCCACAGCCACTCCATGAAGTTGATACTGTTATCCCCATTGTAAAGGTATAGAAACTGAGGCAAAGAGGGGTTGCGTAGCTTCCTCAGTATCACATTGCTTGTAAATGGCTCAAGCTATGAAGTTGGCCAAGAATCAGATCATAACACAAGTAAGGAGAGATTCTGTTGCCCAGTCCAAGCTCATACTGCTCGCTGCACAACAGGCCAATAAATTGAGAGATGAGGTGTTGGGGCAAGGGATAGTGACTTTATTTGGAAAGCCAGCAGAGCAAGAAGATGGTGGACTAATGTCCCAAAGAACCATCTTCTCTGAGTTAGAATTCAGGCTTCCTTTATACTAAAGGGGGAGGGGGTGTGGCTGGTTGTTACAGACTTCTGGGTGTTTTAATCCTTTGTTCTTGCAGCTGTCCAGTGTAACTCAGGTCACCATGTTCCTGTAAACCTCCAACAAGGCAAATGTTATTCTCTGTTGTGCAACTTTTTATCTCTGTTTGAATGGAAAAGTGTTATACCTTTAAAGGTCCGAGCCTTGAGAATGGCCTATCCTGTATATTTCAGGCTAAGACAACATTCTTAGCTTGTAGCAAAAGCAATAGAGTACAAAGGTTAAAGTAAGAGAAACAGATCCAATATGGAGTCAGATTTGTTCTTCCATATTACAGTTCCATTTAATGGAGGGATCAGAAAACCTTTCTGCCTAAGATACCTCTTTGAACTGAACCTTGAGAATGTCAGCAGAATTGAAAAGAAAAATTCCATAGCAAGGTAACAGCACAAGGGAGAATTGGGAAGATGGGAAAGTGTATCACCTCCCTACTAGACTTAATGGGTCCTTTTTAAATTTTGGTTGTTAATTTCAAGCCTCCTTGGACGTGCTGGTCCTTCTGCCTGAGACAACCATTTATTCATTTATTACACATGCATTTATTGAGTACCCGTTGGTCCTTTCCCTTATCATCCATGTGACAGAGGCATCATTCTTCAAGATCAGACCGTGGAGGGCTTCTTCTCTGTGAAGCTTTATTGACTCTTTCAAGCAAAGGTGAAAGCTTGCTCCTTTGTAACCCAGTATATGCCCATTTTTGGTCTGTTTTCATTCTGGTCACATGTATTGCAATCCCCTACATGACTGACACCTCTGCTAGACTGAATTTCTTTGAGGACAGGAATCAGGCTTTGACTCTGTACTCTCGGCCTGCATGGTTGTGCTGTACACGTCTATGGACATGAATGAGCCAGCACTTGCACCTGGCCTATTGTAGGTTCTTAGTAGATATTTATTGCAATGAAATGACTAGTGTTATTAATAAAATTAATTATCTCTTTATATGACCAAGTTTTGTGACTCTGTCATCTCTCATGGAATGTTGTCTTTTGAGGGCAAGAGGTTAGGAAGCGGGTGAGGGCTTAGTGGCATGGTGCAGATAGATGGCACAAAAGTGGCCGGAAAAGTTCGCATTTTCAACATATGGTTTCATGGACCCCATTCTAGGAAGATAATTTTCCATTTTCTTTAGTTGTAGCCTTAGATCCTCTAGTTTAAGTACCTTCATTCAGGGCCAATGTCCTCCTAAAAAATAGTTTGTAAAACAGTTTGTTAAAAGCAAACAAAGGAAGCAGATATCTTTGGATAAGGTGTGGGTTTCCCCATATTTAAGCCTTACCACAATTTAATATGGCTTTTATATTAGCCTTTCTAGTTAAGCCATCTTTAATTGGCATGATCAAGAGATTTTGGTCATTATTCTTTTTGAGCTGAAACTGGTGTTCAAGGTCAGCCTTTTCAGATGAAAAGGTTCTAGATCTGTGGCGTGAGCTAAGAATTGGCTGCACAGTTTGAAGATCCATTTCCAGTAGCTTTATTTTAATATTCTTTAAAAATGGATAACTCCTGAAATGTTTATTTTCAACTGAACTCTCCCATATAACTATCAGAGAGACGGTCGCTGGGAAAGATTGTTGCCTTGACACTGGGAACACTTTCATTCAATTTAAATGAAATCAAATGAGATAACGTATGTGAAGCAGGAGCTGAGGGCATAGGATATAGTAAATGTATAGTAAATACTGGCTGTAATTGAAGTGGTATTATTATCATTATTATCTCTTCCCAGCACAGTGTCTCAACTTAATAGTACCTAGTAGTGTGCAAGGCATATTTATTAAAGAAAGAAGGGATGAAATGTGTGTCTGCCTGCCTCTTTCCTTTCCTTTTCCTCCCCACGTTAAATGCTTGTCTGCTCTTATAGCTGCGGGAAAAGCTGACATAAAAATGGGCTCGCTGGAAAGTTTCTCGGCCCCATTTGTCACCTTACCCTTGGAGCCCAGTTTTATGTCAACTCCACGTTCCCTCTGATGCCTGCCAGTGAGGGACAGACCACAGGTCACTTCCCTATGATCTGCTTTAGCTGCCAAAGCTCTAGTCAAGCTTGGCTGACGTATGGGTGCCTCGTTGTTGGAAATGTCTCCATGGGGCTGCTCAGGAAATATGCCTGTGCTGTATTTTCTGGGTGGCATCTAGTGCTTGACAATAAGAAACATGGAAAATAAAGAACTGAGTTTTGCTTCTCTTGAAAATCCAGTTTTAGAGATCTGTTTTGCATTACCTATTGTGAGTTTTGCGGATAAGGCCTCTAATTCTCTTTGTTGTATGGAACCCTGTTGATGGCTTAGTGAAACCATGTGAACAGTTTATACGTGGAGACCAAGGTTTTCCTGTTTCTGTATGTTTGACAGTTCCTTTTTGCCCTCCTAATTTCTAACTTCACCAGGGTGGTGATTCTGAATGTTCTCTTCCCTTGATTTGCAGCGCTCGAAAGGAGTGAATGAAATGTGCAGCTCGGGGTGTCATTTCTGAAGGGAGGAGTCGTTTTCTTGGAGAGGAGTCCTCAATGAGCCTGGCCGAGGCCCGGGATCTGTGTGAAGTGGACTAAGGATTTAGTAGGATGTCAACTGAGACAGAACTTCAAGTAGCTGTGAAAACCAGCGCCAAGAAAGATTCCAGAAAGAAAGGTAGGGCTCAATCTGTTCCTTTCCTAATGGCTACCTATTGAACAGGAATGAGTTTTTTTTTTGTCTCTGGAACGGTATTTGGTACTATCTTTGTGATTGCATGTATTTTTAACTAATCACCAAGATTATTTGGTGGTGTTTGTACTCACAGTATCATATTTTTTTTTTTTTTTCTTGCGTTACGCGGGCCTCTCACTGTTGTGGCCTCTCCCATTTGCGGAGCACAGGCTCCGGACGCGCAGGCCCAGCGGCCATGGCTCACGGGCCCAGCCGCTCCGCGGCACGTGGGATCCTCCCGAAACGGGGCACGAACCCGCGTCTCCCGCATCGGCAGGCGGACTCTCAAGCACTGCGCCACCAGGGAAGCCCTCACAGTATCATATTTTAATGGCTCGTCCTTATTCTCTGGGTAAAATCCAAAGTTCTTTTCATAATATGCAAACAAAGCCCTTCTTGACCTGATTTCTACCCATCCCTCCAGCAACATCTCTGCCCAAATCTGCGCTGCATCCCCACCCAACCCTGTTTGCCCTCCAGGCATTCTGTGTCTTGTAGTTCACCTTTGCATATACCGGTGATTCTCAAACTCCAGCCACACAGAAATCACCTAGAAGGCTTGTTACAACACAGATTGCTGGGCCTCGTCCCCAGAGTGTTTGGTTCACTAGCTCTGGGGTGGGGCCCAAGATGTGTTTATAACAGGTTCTCAGATGATGCTGATGCTGGTGGTCCAGAGACCAGACTTTGAGAACCCCTGGACTGTCACTTCAGCCTGAAATACTTTTGTTGCTCTCCACTTTTTCTTAACACTGACTCCTACTTATTCTTCAGATTTGAGCTTAGTGGGGCCTCCTGGAGGGCCTTTCCTTACTCCCCAAATTGGGTTATTTGCTTTTGTTTGTTTTGTTTCATTAGCACTTTGTTAGTAGCTCACTTTCTTAGAAGCACCCTGTTTTTTTTTCCCCTTTGTCAGCTATACTATACAGTCCTTCAGAGCTGGATCCCTTGTTCACCCTTTTAACTCCCAACAATTGGAAAGTGTTTGACACAGAGGAGGCGCATAGGTATTTGGTAGAGAAGACTGGCATGCATAGTGTGATAATAAAATAATTCTATCACTGTTCACGATTTTTGGAAAATTTGTTCCTATGGCTTTATGACCAAGTCTTTCATTACGTTTGTCTCCTTGTTGGAATTAGATGTAAGCAACTTGTTGCTCTGTGTGTGGGTGTGTGTGTGTCTATGTGTGGTGTGTGGTGTGTGTTTTCTCCCTGTGGTTTCAGTTCTTTCCCTCCCCTGTCTTTAAAACTGCGTGGAAGAGGATTAATACAACTCTCTTTCAGGTCTTGAAATCTGTCAGTATGGGCCTGCAAACAGGATGCCATTGGTTGCTTTGTATAGGCAGTGATTTGTTTGAGACGTTGCTGTGCCTGCCCAGTCATGTCTTCTGATGGCATTTGTCTGATACTCCATAGGAAGCAAGGGACATAAATGTAATACATATGCAGCTCTTGGACAGCCAGAACCCCAGGAAGGACTATAAATTTTGCTTTAGATGTTGATATGAAGCACAAATATTTTGGAAGCAGTCTATTTTATCCCCTGAAACCTAATGTAAACCTTGTTTTTTATGCGTCATGGACTAAGAATAATAGAAGGAAGGCACGTGTGTGAGAGAACAGGTCTTGGCAGAACTGCTACATGGGGGGAAAAAAAAAAGATTGCAGAGCCCAGTATGTACTAGAATTCAAATACTTTTTTCACTGGAAACTGACAAGTTATATTTTTGCTTCAAATTTAACCTTTCCAATGAACTTGTGCTCTTGAATGCTTAATGTATTAAAAATTGTACTTAGTGCGTATCTTTTCATTCTTAATTTTAACATGCAAAACCAGAAGCATTCTAAAGAGACGATTCAGATTTTTCAGAACATTGGCTTAGTTGAGAACTTGGAATGGGACTGTGAAGGTGACTTTCACGTCCTTAGCAGCTCTAAAATCAGCACGGCACCTATGCAAGGAGTGTCCTCTAGTGAGTGGCTAATACCATAACGTCTGGGCAGGCAGACCTGGGTTCAGATTCTGGCTATATCACTTCCTAACTGTGTGACCTCAGAATGTTACTTCACCTCTCTGAGCCTCGTTTCCTTTCCCATAAAATGCAGATGTAATATTACAGAGCTCAAAGGCTCACTAGGAAGATTAATTGAAATAAGGCAAATGTAACAGTATAGAACTTGGCATATGTTAAAAACTCTACAAAGTTTACATGTGTTCCTCTTCCTCACCCCCCTTCCCCCTCCTTCTCTTCTCCTTACTTCTTCTCATCCCCTTCATTCCCTGTCATCTTTCTCCATCTTTCCCACCTCTCCCTTCTTTGTCCTATTTCTCTTCTCCCTTTTTCACTCCATCCTCCTGCTCTTCCTCATCTTCATCAGAATCATCACATTGTTTTCTCTTACCTAAGGGGATCTTAAAAAGTATACAGCTGATTTGTCCCCGAGCAAGATTTTACAATTGTTTGTGATTATGCAACAGTGACAGATAGTAGTTTTTCTTGATACCCTTGTCTGGACCAAGGCAGCAGGAAATCACACACGTACGTTAAGAAGAGAGAATGAGAATGTGCTGGTAACAGGATTAATTCATTTCCTGTTCTTTAGTTTTGGCTATGGGATAGTAAGTATTCCATTAAACAAATGTTGCTAACTGGGTGAAAATAAGTAGAACTTTGAAAGGAAACGAGCAGTTTATATATCCATCTTGAATCTTGAATTCAATAGTCTTACTAAACTCTTTCGCTAATACTTTCTCTAACCCCTCTTTGATTTTCTGTTGAGGCAATATGTAACCTCATAAGTAAGTTTCTGGCTTCCTCTTCAATCCTTAAGTACTTGTTCTTTTTCTTTATCTTATTCCGTTGGTTGGCTCTGTCAATATAATATCTAGTAGAGAGTAGGTATCCTTAACTTTTACTTAAATTAATGGAAATGCCTTAAGTTACCTGTAAGTGTGATATTTAAGTATTTACTAAATATTCTTTATTAGTTTGCCTTCATTTCTCATTTCTAGGAATTATTTTTTTTTAAATCCTGAATTTTCATGTTGAATTTTATCATATGCTTCTTCTATATTTATTTCAATGATTATACGTGTATTTTCTCTTTTAGTTTAAAATCATGTGTTTCACTGATAGATTTTCTGATCTTCATTTCTGTTTGTGGTGTCTTATTTTCTATACCCTGTGGATTTAATTTGATATTTTACTTAGTATCTTTCTATCTATATTCATCAGCTCGATTGGTATATATGTTTCTTTTCTTGAACAATCCTTGTGCCTGATATAGGTCAAAGTTGATAACCTCATATAATGATTTTGGTGGTAAGGAAATAATAACTTTAGGCTTCTTTATGAAAAAATATGAATTTTTTAGTAATTTTATTAGACTTTTAAGAAGTTATATATGCTTATTACTGAAAATTAGAAAAGACAAGGTAAGCATGCATAATCCTAAAAATTAAAAATAACTTTTATTGGGCTTCCCTGGTGGCGCAGTGGTTGAGAGTCCGCCTGCCGATGCAGGGGACGCGGGTTCGTGCCCCGGTCTGGGAAGATCCCACATGCCGCGGAGCGGCTGAGCCCGTGAGCCATGGCCGCTGAGGCTGCGCGTCCGGAGCCTGCGCTCCGCAACGGGAGAGGCCACAGCAGGGAGAGGCCCGTGTACTGCAAAAAAAACCCCAAACTTTTACTAACATTCTAAGTTACTTCCTTCTGGACTGACTTTCCAGGATAATATGAGATTACACTGTTCATACAATTTTACAGACATTCTGTCATAAATACATTTCTCATATTACTACCTGATATTACAGTATAGTAGTGTTTTCTTCTCTTGGCAAGATTTAGGTGGTTCCTGGGGCAGATATTTTATTTCCGAAAAAAAATACCTGACAATGTAAGGCATCTTTCATGAAAAAGAGTGGCAAAAAGAAAGTTAAGAAGCCCTTTATAATTCCTCACAAGCCTGTCACTCCAGTTCTTTAACCCAGGCTGTTGAAAGCAAGTCAGACAGCTTCAAAAACAAGTCACACAGGAGCATATTTCACCACAAAATGAGTTTCTAGACAGGCCAAGTATGAGATGTAACTAGAGTACTCACAATTCAAATAAGGAGGGGATGAAAGTAGTGAGAAATAAAGTTGTTTTCTTCATTTCATTTTTATTGGATTGTGTCGCTCACTACACATACAGCTTGTCAGACGGCACCTATGCTAGGAGTGGAATTTGATGGAGGACTGGAGGAAGGGAATGTGTATTTTCAGGTTCGGTACCTGCCATCGAAGGGAGATCAGTTGACACAACCTGTGGTAATCCTGGCATTAGGACACCCAGTAGAAGACCGTGGTAGAGGAACGGGTCCCAGGACGAGCAGACACAGACATTTCTGGGGATAGTGCCTGGAGTGTTTCAGGCAGTGCCATCTGGCAGCTTGGTGTCATGGAAAGAGCACTAACTTTGGAGTCAGACAGACCTGGTTTTTAATTTCTAACTCTTGTTCTTATGTGCTGTGTAACCAGAGATGGGTTATTTAGCCTCTTTGACCCTTGTCTTTTAAGGGTGTGTGATTGTGTGTGTGTGTGTGTGTGTGTGTGTGTGTGTGTGTGTGTGTGGTATATTACTACTCTGCTTGTTATCAGAAAGGCGAGCGAGATTACCTTGGGTAAAGGACCAGCTTGGGATCTGCAGCATGGCAGTGATGTGGTTAACGTTAGCTTTTGTGTCCTCTTCCTTCTGAGATCGTGGTTCAGTATTTTCTCCTTATTTTCTAGAAATACCTGGAAATAAACTTATTCACTTTCCTTATACTTATATTAGAACTCAGTGAACAAAAACGACAAGACACCAACAGTCTTTCCTCCCAGAAAGACTGGGCTCCAAGAATCAAGGCCCTGATGGAATCCAGAAGTTGGTGGTCACATGGCGGACACCTTAGCTCTGG